CCCAGCACTAAATGCCATGCTGGCCCCACCCCTGGGGCAGGCTGAGCCAGCCACTGTGACTGGGCATGGTGGCGCACACCTGTAATCCCAGCACTGGGGAGGCTGAAAACAGAAGGATCACTATGAGTCTGAACTGCATGGTGAGACCCTATATCAAATACATAAAAAAGTGTGTGAGTCACTCTATAAGAGACTGCACAGTGGCATAGAGAAGGGGCTACCGTCCGTGTTTCATCACCCTTCCCTAGCTACCCTCCCCTGCAGTGCGGGAGTGTTTCCACTGCTCCCTACCCTGGCCAGCATCCAGGGGGAGTGATCTTTTTACTCTTAACCATCCTCCTGGATGTGGTGGGATAGCCCAGGATGGTTTTATATTTTACAGTTAACCATGTTGAGCTTTTTCATATATTTTATGGTCCTTTTATTTTGGGGGAGTGAAATGTAATTTGCATCTTTTACCTAGTTTTTATTGGGTTGCTAATGTTTTTCTGTATTGATTTGTTGGACTCTGATATATGCTCTAGATACATCCTTGGACAGATAGATGCTTTGTAAATCTATGACTTACCTTTTCATTTCATTTTAAGTAGTTTTTAATTTAGATGAAGTCAAATTATCAATTTGTCTTTCACATGTTTGTCTATCTATATCCTGTTCAGGAAATATTTGTCTACTACTGGTTTCATAAATATTCTCCTGTTTTCTCCTAGGAATATTACAGCTTTAACTTTTACATTTGTGTCAAAGAACAAATATTATCCTCGACAAAATTCCAGTATCACTGTTCACAGAAATAGGAAAAAATCCTAAAATTCAATTCATAAAGATTCATAAAAGCTCTTGGATCCCAAGGGCAAAGAACAAATTTGGAAGCCCTGTATTACCTAATTCCAAAATATATTACAAAGATATAAGAGTCAAAACAGCATGGCTCAGCATTGGAGACAATACTGATGATGAAATGGGACGGAGAGTGCAGAGACAAACCAGTGCGTTCATGGCCAGCTGATTTCCAAGCGATGGCCTGGCCTCTTTGTGCGATGGCTATCCATGTGGTTCTTGTACTCTTTGTTGGAAAAGACTTTGTTTCATGGGAAACAAGTCTTTTTCCAAGATGTTTCTCCACCTCTTTTTCCAGGTGAGCTGTTCCCCAACAGCCTTACTGTGGTCACACATTTGAGGTGGTTTGGGCAGGACCTCATTTCTAGTGATACCACTTCAGTGAGTGAAAATGTAGGGCACTGGGAGTTAAAATGCACTCAGCTGTCCATCCCCACTTCCGCAAAGTGAAACCTTTTTGGCCTGACACAGCTCACATGGCTGTGGAGTGAGGCTCTGATGGGCCTGTGGCGAGTGGCACTCATGGACTCGGCAGTGACAGGCTGCACATCACTGGCATACCAAGCAGTGGGGATTATGGCAGGGTCAGGTGGCAGGAACCAGGGCAGAAAGCTGCAAGAGTCCCCACCCTTAACTATAGCGACATGCCCATATCTGGTGACCAGGGCTCTCTCACACCCTAGGACAAACCTATGTGGCCTGCAGGACCAGTTCACAGGCTAGGAGATCCCCAAGGAAGGCACCTGCAGCCCCAGCCTGGCACATGGCAATGTGGACTGAAGTGGGTGCATGGCCTGAAGCTAAATGGGCTGCACCTGAGGGCTCATCCTTGGGACAGGCTTCTTTGGAGTCCTGTGATGACACTGGCAAGATGAAGTTTTTGAACATCAGGAAATCTGGTTGGGAACTCTCACTTGTTTCTCCATGCCTCCTTGGAGGTCACTATCAGAATCTACCATCTTCCCTGCAGGCCCCATGGGACACATAGGGCTGTCCTTAAGGCCCTCCGTGTCCTGTGGACCTGGCCTCCACCTCGAGGAGGTAGGCTCTGCTGGGCCGCCTCTCTTCCAGGGAAACCTTGCAGAGGAGGCAAAGCTGCTTCCCTCCCTCCAGGTTTGCTAAAAAGCCCATGAATGGGTGAAGTCTTCCTGCTTTCTGGCTCCTAAGAAGGCATGTACAACATTCTGCAGGAAGGGAAGCTTGGTTAGTTAGGTGATACAGTAACAGACAGTCTAGCAGGTTCTGAAGCAGAATGTGGAGCATGATTCTGAGCTGTTAGAAAAATAACATGACCAAAGCAAGACTCTTTGGGAAACAGAGGAAAGCCTGCAGCCCCCTCCCTTCTCACATGACTACTGCTCGACCACGTTAGGGTGTTCGTGACTTTATTCTTATCCCCTGGACTCTTGCATATTGGATGATTTAACATGCTTTACTTTAAAATCCAGAAAAATATTTATTTTCAAATTAGAAGCTCTGTATTCTGTGGCCAGGATACAGCGGAAGCCTGTCCCTTTAGCCACACTTGCACTTTCTCTGTTTTCAATTACAGGGACCCTCGAGGTATGACCAGCCTATGACCAGAATTTTAGCTTTAACTTATGACAAAAGTCTTGAGTTATGACTCCAGGGCTGGCCTCTTGTGCTTCCAGATAGTTTCAGACAGAAATTTAACCCTCCAGAGCTCGGGCAGGAGTGTCACAGTGTCCTTTCCTGTATGGGGTTAATGGAGAGCTCCCGAGCCAGTGTCTCTCTGAGGACGCCGAGATCTGCCTGTGTACAGGAGAGAGCTTGCACACTGTGCAGGAGCCTGAGCTGCCAACTGACTATCTGAGTTATCACCGGCTCTTAGGAGCAAGTTAACTCCTCAGTCAAGGGTCCACTGTACCTGTGGTCAACTGTGGCCTGAAAATGTGAAGTCATGCGGTCACACTGCAGACTGTTCTGAGCAGCCTGGTGACCTCTCAGAGCTTTGCTCTGTCCCTCCCAGCACAGGAATGGTGGCCAGTGCAGCACGTCCAGCCTGTGTACACTACCTGCCTGCAATCACTAGCGGCCTCAGGTTATCACATAGATACCTGGCGTGGTGTCGCAGGGCTCATGTCCCGGTCACCCTCGTTTTCCTTAGTGGTGGCTCCCAAAGCAAAGGAATAGTGATGCAAGGGGACCTGTCTTAGTTCCTTTTCTAGTTGCTAAGGCGAAATGCCCAGCACTCAAAGTTGAAGGAGGAGAGGTTATTCGGCTCAGTTTGTAGAGGTTTCTGTCCACACGTAGTGGCTCCCAAGGCAGAGGGTTGTCTCAGAGGAGAAACACTTCATAGCAGGCAGGAGACAGCAAAAACCAGCAAGCGATCAACAATAACAGCTTCTCTCTCCCATTTCATATTCTGTTGAGATTATCAGGCTTAGGGTGGTGTCAAACCAATCAGTGAACTAATTTGGTAAACACACAGCTTAATCCCAGAACCATGCACCCTGGATTCAGGCACCTCTGAAGAAGCCCCAACTATCACTGCGTGAGGTCTGTGGGAGGGGCATCTAGACACAAGCCGTACCAGGACCCCATAACTGAACACTCGGGAAAAGTAGCAGGTGCCTTGGCGTGAGTAATTCTCAGCACAGTAATTCATTTTCACACTACCCTTCTTGGGGCTTGAACACTCACAGATTTTGTTCATGGTCTCTGGGGAGAGGGGAGGGCTTTCATCAGACGGCAGGCACTGGCCCAACATCTCCAGGGCTTGCCCTTCCTCTTGGCCTGTGCTGCACACCCTTTATCTCCTTACCCTCCACTCGCGTGCCCAGCACAGCTCCGTCTGAGCCCCTCACGGTCCTTGCCAGCCCTGCCTTGCCCATGAGGGCACAGCGGGCCTTGGAGATGCTCTCACTGTGGATTTGAACTTGCTGCCTTGAAGGAGCTCTGGTGGCCCAGGTGCAGGGCTCCTGTCGCTGGTCCTAGGACGGTCCTTGGTGTCCTACTGCACTCTCCTTCCAGGCACCTGTCCACTCTCTGTCCTGGAAGGGGGGTGGGGAGCTGCTGGGGCAGAGGGGCCTGCTTCTGGGAACCCCAGACGGCAGCTGGGCACATCTCTTCCTCTGGCTGTCGTCTACCGATGTATTTGTGCGGCCGAGTTGAAGTTCCACTGCCAAGGCCGTTTTTGTCCTTGTGTCCTGAGAGTGGCAGAAGATGGCACTGTGGTCTCTCACTTGCACTCCCTTGAGGAGCCCAGCTGCTTCTGTGAGCTGGGGATGGCCTCTCACCGGCCAGCCCTGCACATGTGATGGAGAATGAGTCGCCCTAACGTACTCGGGGGCAGGAGCACCTAGGGAGGCACCTCGGAGAAGCTGAGTCTTTTTTCTGTTAGTGCATATTATTTATACAGACTTCATTTCAGCATGTTTGTACCTGTATAAAAGCATGCTCTGAGCATGTCCTCCCCATCACCTCCTTTGTTTCCCTCTTCCTTTCTCTTTTCTAATAGTCCCCCTTCTACTTTCATGCCATTTCTCTCTTTAGGTCCTATGGGTGAAATAAAACATACTTCACGCCCCAGTTCCTTCCACTTTACTGCAAATGATAGGAGACCATTCTTTTTTCATGGCTGACTAATACTCCATTGCTTAGATAGGCCACAGTCCCTTCATCTGTTCCTATCTGGTTTTGCTCTTGTGAGTTAGCTTACAGGATCCAGTTCTATTATTCACATCTTCCTCTCATCATCATGGTCACAGAGTTGCATTGCCCCAAGGTTGGTCATCTGCATTAGAAGCTCCAATGAGATCTGGAGATAAAGAGACCGAGAAGACTAAGGGCTCTACACCCAGTGGGTGGGGGCTGGCAGCTGGGCCCTGTCCCTCAGCACTATGCCCTGCCTCCAGGCGAATTCAGCTACATGCCACAGTTGTCTCCAGTTGTCTGGCAAGGACAGCAGGTGCTGGTAGCCACAGGAATTCAGTCCTACACTCAGCACAGCTTGGCCATGGACTGTTCAACTCCAGGGTCCCTTCTGTAGAGTCTGAGCTACCCCAGAGAACTCAGGAGCCATCCTTGGGTAGTGCGTGGGGGGATGGGGTGGCGGCTGTCAGTCCCACTTCTGCTTTCTCCAGGAAGCAAGCAAAGGTTCTGCGTGGTGATTCATAGTGAAACAAGGGCTGCCAGGCAGCCGAGCCTTCCCCAAGCCCCAGGGGCTGCCCCAGTACGGAGGTGCCCATGCTGGTCGACTCCTGCAGGACCTGACCACGCACCAGGTAGGCCACCTTGCTCCTGCTGGCCTGAGCCAGAGCAGGCAAGGGCCGGTCTCTCAGGGCATTTGGGTTGGACCTCGGCTACTGCCTGGAAGTTAGCACTGCCCAAGTGACCTCCAGTGGCAGGGGAGGACTCCTGGATGTGGGAGGAGGAATAGGCTGAGTGGAATGGGTTCCTGGGACTCAGGGCCCCTTGGCCCTGTGTGTGCTGAGGGCTGTGACTCCGGGTCAGCCGGGCCACCCTGGCTTTCCCTTCCAGTCCTTATCTCCCGCCACAGACCAAGTCCTCTCTGCTGGGAACTGTGACTGCCGCAGCCAGGAAGGGCAGCCTCTCGCCCTCTAGGCCCCAAGTGGGCCTGAGGAGCACAGAGCTGGATCCTTTCTGCTCCTCTGTACTGCATTTCTCTCATCTGAGTCAGGTCAGACCTCTAACAGCCAATGTTTCTCAGAAAACTGGACCACCTGGCTCCTTGAGGACTGGCCCTTCACTTTTCCCAGCCCACTGTCCCAACTTTGTCCCACCTCTCTAAAGTGATAATAAGCATTTTGCATATCATCTTTTCCTCTTCCTTTTGGGTTTTTGAGACAGAATCTCTCTCTAGAGTGCAGCAACTTGAGCTCTGTAGAGCCCAGGTTGGCCTTGAGCTCCCCGTGACCCTCCTGCCTCAGCCCCGTGGATGCTGGGACTGTAAGATTGCGCCACACATGCAGCTCACAAACACTCAATTTTAATGTCTACATCACCATCCATCTGATTATTCAACAAATGTTTATAGAGAAGCCACTGGCTGCCAGGAACTGGTGGAGGGCCAGGCCAGCAGAGGGGGCATGTGCAGAGCCCTGACTGATTCTGGGGAGAAGGGAGGCTGGAAGGCGAGAAGGCTCCATTCTCCCAGGGGCCACTGAGCCAGACTCTCAGCTGAGGTCCTCAGGAGGCAGAGGCCCAGCAGAGAGCTACAAGGTAGCACCAGCTGAGGGGCACAACAGGGACCCCAAGAAAGAGGTCAGGGATGGGGCCTGCTGGGGGCCGACCTCCCTTTCTCTCCACCCTGAGAGCCTGGAGAGATTTGCCATGTGGAGTATATAGAAAAGGCAATTTAGAAAAAGCAGGTAGGGAAGAAGGATTAAACTCCTACAGCCATGTGAGCTTCCATCTTGGAGGCCTTCGGTGAACCCACCCCCACTGCACACAACTGCCACCCCCATCTGGGTTCATAGTTTCTGTGCTTTTTCTTTCTTGTTTTACCCCATACGTTAAAATTCTTCAATGAATGTGATCTAATTTTGTGCATGCTTGAACTCTATAATCATGGAATTGTATTCTTCAAAATTCGTTTAATTGGCTTTAAATGATGTTTCTAGCATTCCTTTGTTTGGTTGGACGTGGCTCTAACGCATTCATGGTAACTGCTGTATGCTATTCTGCTTTACAAACATTGGTGAGTGTGTTTCTGAGATACTGCCAATGGGCCCTCAGGTATCACTAGGTTTAATTTCAATTCTAAGTGGTAGAGCCAGGGTTACTCTTACACTCACGTCGAGGGATGCATGCAAGACTTTCTCTAGTGTGTATACCCCAGTAGTGGGTTCCATGAATCACGAGGGAAACTTATCTTCAGGCTCAGTGGTGGTGCTATGTTGCTTCCCAAGATGACTAGAAATTGTTAGGATTTGGCCTTAGGGATTGTTCTGGACCCTGCACAGATTCGCATGTCTGTAGATGTTCAAACCACTTACATAACATGAGGAGCGTCTGCGCGGAACCTTCACATGTCCTCCCACGTTAAGGCACCTCTAGGTAACATGCAGTAGCCAGCGGGTGACTGCAACATGCAGAGCCTGCAGCAACGCAGAACAGCTGCACACCTACTAGCAGCGCACTAACGTTTCCGTCGCCTCAAACCCTCACCACCGGGGGCGCTGCTGAGTACTTTTACATGTGCGATGGCCAACTTGGATCCCTTTCCTGTTCCGATCTCTTGGAGTTTTTTTTTTTTTTGGTTTGGGGTTATCTGTTCTTAGCCTATTGATTTGCCACAATTCAAGCATACTGGAGGCATTAGGGCATTAGGATTTTTTTTTTCCAATTGTTTTTCTCCTGTCAGGGTCGCATTTCCTTGTGTTGTGATTTTTAGTAATGACTGAGTTGATTCATTTCTTCCTTGATGATAACACTAGTCAGCTACTAAGTATTCTTTATTTTCAAAAATTAAAAAACTTTGTCCTCTGATTTTCATCTGGAAACGACTTCTCTGTATGGTGTGAGGTAGGAAATAATGTATAATGTATACTCCCTAGATTTTGTTTTCCTTATATGGGTATCCAAGGGTGTTTGCTCCATATGTTATTCTTTTAGCTGCTGAACTACAACATGTTTATTGTAGTCTTCAAGTTTTCATGTAGATGTGAGTCTCTTTCTGGGCTGTTTCACAATTTGTTTTTTGCCAATGTTAAATAATATTACTTATCATAAATTTATGGAAAAACTTGGGATCTAGGATGATTCAGTATATTTTTTTCTACTATTCTTCCTGGACTACTTTCATTAATTTCCTTCCTTCATGCTTAGAATTAAATTCAACAAACATGTTCATATTTGATTGGAAATATAACATGGGGAGAACTACTGTCTTCATGGAAGTGAGCTTTTTGATGGTAGGGCGGTACAGGCTTATAGTTCTGAAGTTCTGGGTTCCAAGTATAAGAGATCAGGAAGGTGGCAGCGCTCTGGGAATATGAGTCTGAGCTTAGGGCAGCGGGTGTGCCTATTAGGTGCCGAATGGAGAAATGCAGCCTTGGCCTCTCCCCTCCCCCCGGCCCTGTGACAGTTGGGCTACCTGGGAGCAGACAGGAGGAATTCTGACTGGGAGGAAGAGGTGAGTGTGTGCTGCCCAGAGGTCCATGGAGACACTTTGGGCCAGCTCTGGTTTTGTTTATGGCTGGGGCCTGGTATCTGCTGTCTCCCTGCAAGCACTGCAGCCCTGTCAGTCCAGACGGGTCTGCAGGAACCTCCCTGAGCTGTGGCTGGGGTTTCCGTGTGAAGCACCTACCCGCATCAAAAGGGGGAGTCTCCAAGTTGAGACCCATGCAGTCCCATTCAGGAGCCTCTCGCCTTACTAGAAATGTGGCCAGCCTGAGTTGAGGTGAGCTGTGTGTTCGAGATGCACTCCAGATTTTAAAAATGTTACAAACTGAGACCAGGTTGCTGTTGACACTTAAAAATGTCAACTGTATATGGAGATAAAAATATTTTGGCTGGGCGAGGTGTCACACACCTGTAATCCCAGCACTTGGGAGGCAAGAGGATTTCTGTGCGTTTGAGGCCAGCCTGGGCTACATGGTGAGCTGAAGGCCAGCCTGGAAATGCATAAGACCTTGTCTCAAAAAGACATACCACATTCGAAAAATATTTCGGATATACAGTTACCCCTCTATCTATGAAAGATTGGTTCCAGGAACCTGCTTAGATACTAAAATCTGAGGACCCTTAAATCCTTTACATAAAAAGTTCTTTAAATAATGTCCCACAGAGGGCTGCAGATATAGCTCCGTGGCGCAGCACCTATCTGGGAAGCGTGAGATTTTGAGTTCAATTCCTGGTGCCTCCAGTAAAGAAAGAAACAAAGAATGAATGTGGCACAATATCTGTGTGTAACTTACACCATCCTTCCCTACACTTTACCACCTCAAGATTACTAGTATTGGCTCTGTGGTGAAAACGCTGTGAAATTAGTACGTACATTGTCATTAGGGAACAGTGAAGAAAAAGCTCTATATATGTTTCTACAGGTGCAGCTATTTTTTCCAGTGCTTATTGCCTGAGGGTGAATCTGGGGATGGACGTGGAGGACCTACCGAAGTTAAAGAAAATATAATTGAAACATTAATTTTATCTATTCAACTTTACTTTTTTCATGTGGTTGGTAGAAAAGATAAAATTACACATGGAGCTTAAGCTTGTGAGTTTGTGGCTGGCTTTCTATTTCTACAAATAGAAAACCTAATGACTTCGTGAGACACTATCTCAAAATAAATAAATAAAAAGGGCTAGGATGTAGCTCAGTGTTAGAGTTCCCTGAGTTCAATCCCTAGTACCACAAAAGTACCACCACCACCACAACAACAAAAATAAAAAAAAAGAAACAAAAAACCCCAAAACCCCAAACTAAACCAAATCAAACTAAACCACACACAAAAACAACAGCAAAAGACCTCAAAATGGAAACAAAGGAAGGGTGGGTGAGGGGGCATCAAAGCACAGGCTCCTGGCTTGCTCTGGTCTTCCTTCCGCGCACACACACTGAGGGCTGCCTGTGACGCCTCCACCCACCGGGGTAACAGCAGCGAAAGGGACTTGGCAGAAGAAAGGGCAGGCAGGGCTGGTACACCACAGGGTACTAGGGCTGCTGCCTGCAGGCGCCCAAATTCTGCCTTGCTCACCCAGTGTTGGAATGTTTTCATTTTTAATGTATTTCACATCATTTTCCCTCTAAAGCGCTTTAAGGAAATCAGTGTGGCATTTCGTAATCGACATAAATGTAAATGGAGGGAAGCTAGGGTAAGAAAGTGGAACACAGACCCAGAGGTTGGGCTGCAGATACCCAGGGGGGGATTGAACCTGGATCTCTCACTTCACAGTTGTGCTCATCTCTCAGGGGCTGTGTATAGCATAAGGGTCATTAACCTTGAATTTTTATTTTTGTTAGTCCACCTTTGCGGTACACAATGACTGCATTCATCTTGGGAAGTTGGTCTGAGGACCGCACACACCCCAACTCTTTTTACCCATCTACTTCTTGGTCCCCTTTCCACGTGTAAGAGCTCAACCGCTGGTGCTATCTCACCCTCCTTCATGACTGAGGCCACCTAGGATGGCGCAGCTAAAGTCATTGTCAGGGACATTTCATTGCCAGTTCTTAGGCCATCCAGTGCTAGTCTCCACGGCACCAAACCCGCAGCCCCCTTGGGTCCCAGGAAGCGTAGAGCCTTGCAGATGCCCTGTT